CATCAGCACTGTACTCTAGCACTATAAGCTCTCCAGCTTCTTTTGTTTAAACTCCCATAGAAGTGTAAACAAAAGCGTGCTTTAGGCACCATAGAGAAGTCAGAAATTCACACAGTTGGTTTCGAAGCATTGTTTGTCCAGATTGCCACTTCTGAGGCATGTAATCCAGATGTCTACGTTCTATTTGAATCTATGTGTTTGTTGTGATGGGTAAAAAGTAAACAATGCCAACTGATTTGGTAAGTAAACAATATATCGATCTTTTGTAGAGGGTAGGCTAAATCGGCTACTTTTTTACAAAATTTTCCCTGAAAAAAAGTGAAGAGTAAATGAGAATATGTAAGGTTCTTCTTGTAAGTTTTATAGTTGTATAGTCCAGTTTTCAAGTATCTACTTGATATTTTTGCCCAGAGACTTTGCTCTACTTGCTTCTAGAATAAACTTTCTAGTTTAGATGCTGAACATGCGAGAGAGTCTGTGAAAAGAAAAAAACTTGACCCAAGGCACAAACCTGCCTAATATTCTTATATGCCTGCTCCTTGGTGTTTCACGTATTGTAAGCTTTGTTGACAACAAGTTTGCTTAACACAAAACCAAGAATATTGCTGTGTCCACTATGTCACTTTCCTATATCACTAACTGTAGTTCGATAAATTGTTGTTGACCAAGTGATTATTGGAAAGAGTTCGATATTTTAAAATTATTTAATATTATTTAGCAATTTTGAAATATAATAAATTATTTTGACTATATCAGCCAATTTAAAAACTATAATATTATATAAAATTTATAATTGACATGTAATATTGTATAAGATTTTAAAAAAATGTAAATAGATGTGAATTTTATTAAGAAAATTTGAAAACTTTTGATAAGTAACATTGTTTAACACCTTATTCTAATCATAATAGTAGTTAAATCATCAAAATTGACTCAATATTCACTAAATAGCTAATTGTAATATTCTATATATTAAAAGTTTTTTTTGTGAATTTTCTTAATAAGATTCATACCTATTCACATTTTTTTAAAATCTTGCATAATATTCTTGCAAATTGCCAAAAAAAATTGCAAAGTGTTAAAGAAGTCAAGAATAAATAAATAAATTAAAAATTAAAAAATAAGTAAAAAAAAAAAAACTGCAAAAAACAAAATGTATAAACAAACTAATAAAAAAAAATAAAAGAAACTCCTAATCTTATTTCTCTAAAGTAAGAAATTATACAAAATATCAAAAAAGTCACAAAATACTGAAAATTCTATAGTTTTCTTGAAAGTGCTAGGAAGTAAGGGTTCTGTTCTTGCAAAATGCTAAAATAAAATAAATTAATAAAAAATTTTAAAAAATAAAACAAAAAAAAACAAAAACAAAAAACACAAAATAAAAAAAATAAATAAAGTGAAACTTTGCAAAAACTTGCAAAAACTTGCAAAAACTTGCAATAACTTGTGAAATCTTGCATCTATTTCTCTAAAAAAATATTTCTAGAAATTTAAAAATTGCTAGAGAAATCAGTTATGTATTTTTAATAGTGTTTGAGTTAACATGTACAAGGTTTCAAAATATTGTCTGTTTTTTTGCAAAGATGTTTTTATAAAGTACTAAAATAAAATAAAATAAATTAAAAAACAAAATGAAAATAAAAAACAAAATAAAAACAAAAAAGTAAAAAAAAAAACAAAATAAAAAATCTAATTATAAACAAAAGATCTAATATGATCTTGTAATATAAAATTTGAATATCATCGAACTATTTTGAACTATTTTGAAAAATTAGTCTAATGCGCAATTTAGGTTACAAATCTACTGATTCAGCTTGTTTTCCTAATCCTAAAATATTTTGAAAGTGTTCAAAATATTTTGTAATATACAGTATTTCAAAATATTTCAAAATTACTTTCAAAATATTTTGAAAATTTGATATTTCGAAATATTTTGAAATATATTGTAACATAATTCTGTAATTACAAGATTGACCATAGTAAACGTTACGCACTATGACGATCCCGTGACCATGATGCATACAACGATCATGTGACACCGATGGACCTTTCACCCAACAGCTTGCATATTTATTTATGAATTCATTTATGTATAAATTCGTTACTTTATTATTATCATTATGCATATTATCATTATGTATAGTATCGTTAAGGTAGTAATTAATCATACAGAGTTGTAATAAGGAGGGATTGTAAATAGTTTTAGGGATAATAAGCTAATTACTAAATAGTAAATGTTAGTAAAATGTTTTTCTTATAAAAACGTCCTGTAAAAGTCTTTGTAAAGGCATTGTCCACTGCCCCAAAGTCTTCAATATAATAAAAAAAGCATCTTCGTCTTGATATTTCTTCTAACAAAAACCTAAACCCACCCAATAACTGAATATTTCGGTTACAATATTACGAAATATTTTGCTTATATTACAATTTGTAAGACCTTATATAAGATTATGCTATTATAAATTTGCTAATGTATATACAGGAATATATATTTTGATATCCAAAGCCTTTTTTGATATGTCCAATGTCCAAATGTACACGTGTCCAAAGCTTTGATAATTAAAAAAAATCTATTTTAAAAAACATGATTACAGTATAAATTTATTTAATTTTAAATATTTTTATTTAGAAAGTTGAAATAGATTATCTTAATAACATTTTAAATAATTTTAATATTTAAATGTTCATGATGTCCAAACTTTGTCCAAAGGCTATCCCGTAACATCTCCGCATATATATACTATAGATCTTTTGAATATCCGTTATGTCTATTCACTAAATAGTCACGAGTTTTAGTCATCCACAGATTTTATATGGATATCCGTAAGAGAATTTATGAATATATTATTACATAAATTTAGCTATGTTCTGGCTATATTCTAAGCAAATATTTATCGACTATTCAAAAATCGTGTAAATGATCTAATCCTTGACTACGTATTCATGAATTTTGTGTAACTGAATATTTGCTTTTAATTGAATATTCGTTTTTATCCGTGGATATTCACGGATTCCACCTCTACTACTATATATAATCTTATCTATATTTGAAATAAGCCCCAAACCTAATTTTTACATATAAAAAATCGGAATTATTAGCCGTAATACTAACTATATGTCAGAGGTATTTGACATTACGGCAAATCAAAAGAATTTGCGAAACATAGTAAATACTATTTGGGATTCTACTTAATTCCAACCTAATAGGTTTGGGTAGAATCATTAAAGACAAGCATTCAAATGAAAAAAATTTGGTAACATTGATATCGTTATAACGATCTGTCAATCATTAATAATACAAAAATAACTTTTATTATATCAGCCGAAAAATCATTCGAAAACAATATGCCAGCTTAAGCTAACTTACTTGAGCTGGATTGAGTCAACTTATTTGAGCCAACTTACTTGAGCCGGCTTGAGCCATCAGCTCGAGCCGGTTCGGCTTGGCTCATCCCTAATTTATTAAATACCGAATCCCCTTTTTCTAAGACGCACGCCCGGCTCTCTTCGACCTGGTATTACAATTTTTGAGCTTTTAGGCGTGGCCATTGCTTTACGTTGTAATTCTTTGGCTTCTTCTTCTTCCTTTTCTCGAGCAGTTTTCATTTGCATTTCCATTGTCATTCTTGCCATCTCAGCTCTATTTGCTGCCCGTTTTTCCTGCAGATTATTAAAAAATTTTATGAATACATAATGTTACATTAAAAGACTAATATATGTGTGAATTGGACATACCTTTTGCGTGAAATTCTTTTCTTTTATTGAATAAAACATGGGACTATGATGAACGTAAAAAAAAAGAAAAGGATCAATACGAATTTATTGATTGAATTAGAGTGAAGATTTTTTAGTAGACTTACCCCATTTCAGCAAGCCAATATGGATCTACTGCAGTCACACATTGCATGTACTCTTTTGACGTCATCACCAATTCATGATAAACAATATAATCTGGTGTATAACCAAGTCCATATAGTGCGCTCGTAGGATGAAGGTGACATGGCATGCCTGTACGACAATTTACATATTCACCAATTCCTTTAACTCTCGCAGCTTGATGGAAATATGCAGAACAGATACATTTTCGTACTACGTCCCAATCTGTACCGCATGATACAATTTCCATTTTTTCAGCTTTCATGATATCAAGCAATTGTAATCGCACTTCCTGAGCCTTTCTCATTGCCTTGGAATGAATATAATGTTTTATACACCAATCATCACGGTAACTAGGATAAAATTGTATTATTACAAATGTACATTTAAGTAAACCTTTAAATTTGTGTTATGATAATAAAGCTTACCCATGAGACTTCCATTGAGTGTAGACATGTAAAAGTGTTAAATGGTCACTTTCTGGCACAAAGAATTTTTCTCTTGCTGCATCGCTCTGTTCCATTCGCTCTTTTGGTCTATAAAATACTGATGGTACAGAAAGCATAGATACAATTGTCTGATATAAAAAATTTAGTAAATTAAAATATTCAAATAATTATACTATTGATAATACTGGTATATAAAAAATTATGAAATGCATTAATACTATACCAAAATTTCAGCAGTGCATCCAAGCTCTTCAGACACAATTAGCATCTTTGATAATGAAGGGTCCAATGGAAATTCAACCATCCTACGACCAAGTGGTGTCAATTCTCCAGTGTTATCCAATGCTCCGAGTATCCACAATTGATACATTGAATTCAGTATGTTATCCTGGAAATATTCAATCCAGGATTAATTCATGTATAATTAATAAAATGTGTTGTGTTGAAATATGAACGTACCTGAGGAGGAGGATCCATGAAGTCAAAGTCTAGCAAATTTTTAACACCCAACGACTTGAGTAAAAGTACAACATTAGCTAGATTTGTTCGTTGAATTTCAGGTATAGTATTCATAAACATCTCGTGCTGATAGGCATGTTCAGTATAAAGGCGGTAGCACGTTCCGGCACCAGTTCTTCCTGCACGACCTGACCTCTGATTTGCATTTGCCTGACTTATTGGAGTGATTTGTAAAGAATCCATACCAATTTTTGGATTGAATACTTTAAGTTTGTTAAATCCGGTATCAACAACATACATGATACCGTCAACTATATGGAAGATGTCAGTAAGAATATGCTTATTGATTAAGTGTATAATATATAAAAATCTAAAATTTACCGGTTAGTGAAGTCTCCGCGATGTTCGTTGCAACAATAACTTTTCTTGCATTGTCAGGTGCTTTCTCAAATATTTTAGCTTGCAAATCGGCAGGCAGTTGAGAATAAATAGGGAGAACCGCCAATTCTGGAGGATTATCCAACTGTTGTAGACGTTCTATTATGCAAAACGATATTATATATGAAACATTTTGTGACTAATAATTCAATGAAGTAACATTATATCCATACATACCTGTAATTACTTTACAAGTTATCTCTATGTCTTCTTGTCCAGTCATGAACACTAATATGTCACCTGCTGGGTGACCGAGATGAATTGCCAAAACTTGTTTTACAGCGCTGTCTACATAATCTTCACATGGTGTTTTACTGAACATTATTTCTACGGGGAAGGTACGACCAGGAATTTTGAAAGTGGGACAATTTCCAAAGAAGGATGAAAACTATTTGAAAGAATTAAATTGTGTTTTATTAGTTATATTGACTATAAATTTGTAATTAAAAATTTCATGGTAAATACCTTTTCAGCATTCATAGTTGCAGATGTAACAATTAGCTTCAAGTCTCGTCGACGTGCAAGTACTAAATAGAAAAATTAACATTAATTTGGAATATTCAATCAAGTTGGTCTGTTCCTAAAAATACACGTACCCTGTTTTAATAAACCCATTATAACATCCGTTTGCAATGATCGTTCATGAGCTTCATCCATTATAATGGAACTATAATGATCAAGATCAGGTTCTTTAAGTGACTCACGTAGTAACACACCATCTGTCATGTCTGAATACAAAATATGGAGAAATTAGTAACATAACAGTTAAAAATAAAAAAAAAACCCCACAAATGAAATGTATAAAACACACACATTTTATTACAGTGCTTTCGCAAGTACAATCTTCAAAACGAATGGCATATCCCACAGTCGTTCCAAGTTTGCACTAAATGTAAATGTCCGTTTATGTTATTAAATAATAACATAATAATAATAATAATAATAATGATGATGTAGAATTAAAACTCACCTCCATTTCCTCACTAACACGCTTCGCAACAGACATGGCAGCAACACGACGAGGTTGCGTACAACCTATAATGCCATAATTGCCATATCCGTCTTCGTAAAGGTATTGTGTCAATTGTGTCGTTTTACCTGAACCAGTTTCTCCAACCACGACAATAACTACAGGCAGTAATGTATCATATAAGACATCAGGAAATTTAAAGGAAATAAAAAATTATTAACGGTAAAAATTAAAGGTACCTTGGTTGTCTCTAATGATTCTCAATAGTTCTTCACGAACTGCAAAAGCAGGCAAATATTCACGTTGTTCGCGAAGAGTTTTTGACCTAGAAAAGGAACTAGCGGCTTCGGATGCTTTTAAATGTGATGCAAATTGTGAATCACCTTTAGGAGTTTCCATTTCTCCTGCTGGATTTGTAGGCGGTTCTATATATGTTTTTTCAAAAAAAAAAGAGAAAAGAGAAAAAGAAACAATTAAAGTAGGCAAACTTGATTTTTTTGACTTGTGTAAAATGACTTCCGAATTACACAAAGCTTACCTGCGGAGTCTTCATCAGAAGCTTTAACACCCATAATGTTACCCAAGGCAGTGCCTGCAACATCTACAACACTCTTAGCAGCCTGTTGATAGCATCACAAAAAAAAGATATTAATATACAACATAAATAGGCATATGGATTGTATAGGCTTTATTTATAACAAACCTTTTGACGTTCTATTTGTTCTCTCTTTTCCTTTACCAATTGACTTCCTTTCCTAGAGAAGACAGCTAAATCGGAAGTAGGGTCCTTGACAGATTGTACAGTTCCCAATTGTTTTGTGAAAACCATGCGACCGTCAAGAAATGGTGGCTTAATATCATGTACTAATAGATGCACTCGTGCCTACATAAATCAATATTTAGGTTTGAATTAATCAGTTTAGTTTTAATTTCGAATTTAATTAATTGTTGAGTGTTTATACTCACCTCTGAATCCCCATCGAAATCCAAATCAATTTCTTTCCTCTGTACGATACCAGAAGTAAGCATACGATTTGTTTCCCAGAGTTCATTATCTTTGTTATACTGTTCCTGCCTTGCAGTAAGTTTTTTCTAATTTGAATAGATTAAGTAGTTAGTATATAAAAATCCAGAATACAAAATAAAGTTTACAAACAAATCTCCCTAAATGCATGATTCGAGAAGTATTGTATTTAAGAAGTTACATTTAGGAAGGTCAGATTGTAATAATTATAATAATTGGATAGAAATCACACACACAAGCTGTCTCTGAGCGAGTTCCTCCTCTTTTTTCTCAACAAAGTCCGAATAGTCAGCAAAAGGATTGTGTGTATCGTCCATTGCCTGAATTATAAATTAAACATTTAAATATTTATACATATATTGTGAATTTGTAATAAATTAGCACTTACACCAGACGATTCTTCCATGCTGTACCAGTCACGATCCAGTTGCCGTTGTTCTTCTTCCCACTCGCGTCTATCATCACTTATGTCTTCATCATCTTGATTATATGCGAAATCCAGATCATTATCAAACGATGCAAGTCGAGGAGTTGGAAAATCCCTCATAGGTTGATATTCTAATAATTTTATGTTTAATCAAATATAAGTCGACAGGCATAAAATAATTTTTAGATGAACACAATAGTTTTACCTTTTCGAGAAGTTAGCCCACCGCCGGAGAATCGTGGTGTGATCGACCTTGTTGGTGTAGAATCCCAATCACTTCTACTTATACGTGGTGAATTTCGATCGCCTGGACGTGGTGAATTTCGATCACTTAAACGTGGTGAATTCCGATCTGAATCTCTCCACGAACTAAGTGAAGTAGAACGACTACGACTATGATCACTGCTTTTTTCCCTCTCACGCATTTCTTCTTTTACATCGCTGTCTCTTTCCCTCTTTTGGATCTTGCTTTTGTTAATCGATCTTCTATAAAGTCCTCCGGCACTGCTCATGATTAAAAATTACTGAGTATAAAAGCGTATTTTAAAATTGGTTATCGATATTCTTATTACTGTATTAACATGAATATTTATACGTTTAAGGAAGACATTCATGTAATTGGCTAATTTATGTCGATCAAATCATAATTCATATCGATATATAATGCTGTAATGTAGAACAAATGAGTTACGTCAAGCCAAATTTGACTGAGATGCGTCGGATCAAATTACTGTGAATCCTTGCAGTAAAAGACCGAATGGGACTAAATTTAGAGTATGTTTTCAATAGCGTTTATCTCCACATCTAATGCAGTGGTATTTTGATTTCGTGCAGATTTTTTAACAAATATATCTATCCCTCGGATATTCGTTCATGGTTGATAATTTCGATTCATCTGCAAATTTTTTTTCGCGAAAATAAATATAAACTTATTATTATCAGTATTATTATTGATAAGTCTAATATATCTAAAATTCGCAAATTTTCTGATCTATGACATATAAACACATAATTACTCGTTTGTGAATATTTAGAACCGTGAACAATTAATGTCGCGGCTGATCCTGAAATTGGTTGATGCTAAAATTTGAGTCTCGATTTGAAATGAAAATACAAGCCCTGCTAAAATCCACACATACACTATCAATTTTAGCCCAAAATCCTAACCCCCAAAAAAGTTTTAAATTTCATATCAAATAGGACCAAGTTTTAGCATCAGCCGCGATAATTAATATTTTAATTTCTCAATATCGAATACATATATAGCTAATTATCAAACAGTATAACTTTAATTACACATACACCAACATTTGTCAATTTAGAATCATTTTTAAAGTCAACGCTTTTAGTTTAACTATAAATAAAGTTAGCTGAAGTACCGTAAACTGCCGTATACAAGATCCTCACAATAATAGATGATCGCAGAATCTACGAAGACCAAATGTAGCTTTCTTTAACTATCTAGATAATTGAGAAATACGCATGTCTCTTAAAATTTTCTTCTTAATGATATCTGATATAAAATCTCAACCATGTATTATACTGTACCCGACGTTTATTATAGGTTTTAACATTGGTGGAATGCAAGAGACCTGGATCTTTTATAGGTATCTTTGCTCAAATTTTGGAAGTACATATAATGAAAAAGGCCAAAAACTCAAAATTTTTGCTAAGACAACGGGCTTTGAATACAATACCTAAGACGTTTAAATTTTTGATTTTGCATATATATAATTTATTTTTTAATAAATATTTTATTGAGTAATAAATATTTTATTTAAGCGGTAGTTCGCAGTTGAAGAGTATAAATTTTATAGTAAAATCGGCGGAGAATTACCATTACTTTTATATAATGTTGGAATGCTGAAAGTTTCTGGCAATATATAAAAATCATATCGACATGAAGAAAAAAATGACAATAACTCCCGATCTACTAAACCGATTTTATTGGAATAATTCGCTCTATAATATTTGTTAGAAAGGTTTGCTTAGCTGAACAAAAACTTTCATTGTAAGTTAGCTGCATTCAAACTCTATAGAAAAATTATATCAATTTCCGACAATTTTATTATTAAATTTACTATTTTTTACACTTTTTAATCGTGATTTACCTCAATTTTTTTAAAAAATTAAATTTTTTAAAGAATTTTGGATTTTAAGCATGTTTGCAACCAATATATAATTTTTATAAGTTTTTCTAAAAGATTATAAAGAAAATGTTTTTTTTATTCTTTGCCTCTTCTAGTTTCAATAACTACAATGAAAAAGTAAAATACGTGCAATTGAAGTGAAATACGTTTGAACTGCTCACCTTTAATTCTTTTATATATTCAAAGTAAAGGGAATCTTAGGACAGTAAAAACTAGATGGATGGGCGTTCAAAAATCCCGCGTGTAAGCGCATAACACATGCGGTATTCTTAGTCTCAACTCTCGGTCTGAATTTTCCCCTTTCCGTGATGAAAGATTATCAAATCTTCAGCTCGGGCTATACCGAATCGAGACAAGGACAATAGAAGCAAATAGAAATTTGAGCCATCTCGTTTTATTCTTGATGCAAATATCGATTCGAACAATCTTTAGTAGACAACAATCGAAGAGGAACTGGAATCATGCGCAAAATAGTGCACGATACATCTCTCCTCTTAATTTTTCTTAATATGCTATATTTTTCCAGTAATCTTTTGTATTTACTTTTATATTTGTCTGCTTCTTTTTGAAGTCTTATAATATGAATAATTACATTCACGGAAGAGGTGTAGACGGTAACAGCTTTAACAGCTTCACGTACTTCGAAAAAAAATAAAAATAAAAAAATATATATATAATATAAAAAAAATAAATAAATAAATAAAATATATATATATATATATATTAAAAATAAAAAAACTGAAGATATTAGGAAAGAGTTCGCTAACCTTTGTCTCCAATAAAAGGCAGATTGTTTATCTTGAAACAATCGACTTGATTTACTTGATTTAAACTTTCCTTTCAGAACAGGACCTTAAACAAGATGAGACCTAAAAAAGGAATGATATATCATCACGTTATTGCTAATCTTCTAACCTGACATTTTCAACCAACCAACGTTGATGACGGGTCAATATCGAATATCGACATGGAAAACGTTATAAATATACGTAATAATAAATAAAGCTTAGATTCAGTACGTAATCTATAAACAATATAGACGATCATGAATCTTTTTATGACGTGATTGGCGAAATCCTTACTGTATAAAATACGCCTGGGGCGCTAGTTAAAAAAAAAAAAAAAAAAAAAAAAAAAAAAAAAAAAAAACGGAAAATTTTAAAAAAAAAATATTTTTTTTTAAATTAAAAATAAATTTATTAAAAATTAATAAAAAAAAAATTGAAAACAAAACCTCT